CTTGCTCTCGTCGTAATATAGCTTGAGATTAGCAACACTAGCAACACTCTGAGCTCTGTCTATACTATTTTCAGATAGTAACATATTGTCCCTTTTCATAAGAGTTGTGCTTTATGGCCTGATTAAATCTAGAGCCAGGAGGCCTCTTAAGTGGAGTAAATTTCCATTTGAGGAATACTTTCAAATTTTATGTTAACTGTATTTGAGTAGAGCTCCCATTCTGCACTGTCACGGTTCGACTCCCGCTGGGGGTGTTGATAAGACCGATGCTAGGTCGGAACTGCAGTTCACCACAGTCGGGATGAGAACAACTTTTGCGAAAACCGAGCAATGTGAAATTGAATGGAAACGTCAGCTCTACTCATCTGATTGTGGGAAAATTCTACTACCAGTCCTTCTTCACCTTAAACCAAATAGGGTGAATACATCTCATATGTTAACTGATTGAATTTTTCGAGTGGGTACATTTTGAAACTGTCATTACATAAGAGCTGTACTCACCGTAGGTCGCATAAGGGGCTGAAGGACTGATGGTTGGATTAATCCACCACGTTTCCATTGAATTGCACTCAGCCTTGCTTACCAAAGGGTATATTGAAATGGGCTCACCTTATTTCGTTCAAGGTGACGAAGGATTGGTAGTTGAATTTTTCCCCACTGATACGAGTAGACCTTAGGTTTCCAATGCATTTTACATAGCCCCGCCTCTCAAAAGGTATTATTGTCCAGGATGGACTGCAGTTTTGACCTCGCCTAGGTCGCATTGGCACCCCAGCGGGACTCGAACCGCGACAGTGCAGTTTGTAGTCACGACACGTTAACCACTACGCCACGTTGTCACGAGTGCCCTTGGACCACAGGGCAGAGGTGAATTTCAAGGAAGGCTACGTCTCAACCTTGTTACATTTTTTGGCGTGACGAGCAAGCAAACTTATCTCTTCGTACAATAGACTACATTACTTAAATTTCGATTTAGTTAGCTTGGAAAAACACCACTTTCCCTTAATTGAACTTAATTGTGACTAATTTTAGAACTGACTGTCACTGATTTTCATTTACATTGCTTAACCCGTTTTCCATTTTATAACTTTCATATTTGTTCATATTTTCTCAAGTATTCTCTGTTCCTGTGATCAATTTGTACATCGTCATCTTCCTCAAACTCTGGTCCTATGCCGCCGTCAACTACTGGTGTCGAGTCGATGCTTTCGCTTGCTCCCCACTCGCCGGCAAAAGTCGTGTCATCAAGAGTCGACGGCATAGCAATCGCGGTTCGGGCGCCATCGATGCCAAAAGCCGTTCGACAACGAGTCGCAATAAGGCCGGAAAGCGCCTACGTGCAGTCTCCACCGTGATGGCGCCAGTGCAATTGTCCCCGTCGGTTCCGGTAAACTCACCGCCTAGTTCTCAATCTTTAAACGATGAGATGTGCTGCGTCCAACACAGATTAACCACCAGATCGGTCACCAAAAGTGTATTTTCGGAAGACTCCATGAACAGGCTTGGGGAGTCTGCGGAATCACCCGATTGTTCGCAAGGCCAACCTTTCACTCTGGGTCCCGACGATGACCTCCAGGATCCGGTTGGCTGCAATGCGATGGAGTCTGACAATATCACACGACATGATAAAGACCAATGCTCTCAAGTTGCATTGGATCCGGAAAAAACTTTGCGGAAGAGGCATCAAGGGGCTATGAGTCCTGCGAACAGTAGCCAGCTTCAGAAAAGCCTTTGCAAAAGTGAAAATACTTTTCATTCTGTAGAACAATATTTGGCTCCTTATTTATTTTATTTGCTCAGTTTAGTTTCGAGATTCTTCAGGCCTTTACATAAGTAGTTAAATGCTGTGAATACTTCACACTTCTGTTCTTTTCTTGGGTGTCAAACAGGACAGTTTTCGCTTGCCACTGTTAATAAGTAAGTCATCATTAAGAGTCACACTGAAAATGAATAGAAAAGGATGCCTTATCTTGATTAGATCTACTCTAGAGAGTCTTGAATATGCTGATTATGGAATTGCTTTTGCCGACTACAGGATATACATCGGCCTCACGGC